AACCTCAGAATTCGGGCAGGCATGTGGGCCGCCCTGCGGTGGTGGATCACGGACTGCTCGAAACGGCTTAGGGGCTCTGGCTCAGTGACGTCGTCGTGAAGCATCCAGTGCGTCCGTCTGGGGGAGTCGCATATCATGAAGAAGGGGGAAAGCGGCCGATTACAGGGTCGCTTGCAGATCTATTCGTTCCTGCTCCTGCTTGAGAAAATGTTCTACAGTTTACCGGCCGTTAAGCTTGAGCTATGGGCATAATTGCAGCCGAGCATTTCATAGCTCTTAGAGGGGAATTATCTATGAAGGACTAACTCCCTATGGAGTAGCTACTAGCTACCTAAGGTAAGTATCGTCCACAATTCCATGGCAGACTAACCAGTTATCATGCAGAACTGTATTCAAGAGTAGATGTGGCGGTCGTGGCAAGGAAGATGCTGCTGCGGACCAAGCCAGTCCCGTGCTGGTTGCGTTTACCCCGCCCTATCCAGAAGCCATTTTGATTGGCTCTATATTTATTGGGAAAATGGGGTGTGCTCGGACTAGGTACTGCAAAGGTAGGTGGTCCATAATGATTCCTCGGGCATAAATCATTGGACAGTAACAGACCATTGCTCCTGTCAGAGAAAAGTACACTGATAGACCTCGTACAGACCATCCTATAGAAGACGATAAACTGTTGCACTGTTGTACCTCTTACGAGTGTATTATCAGACTGGAGCACGAGCAGAGTTTCCCAAAGGGTGATACTACCTAGCTACCTAGAAGTGGGATCGATCGAACAGGCACACATGGAATCAACGATGGCATGGTCTCAACTTATTGAAGACGTCCCTTGGATCAGTAGGGAAGATCGTCTGATGATCCATGGAATTTATTCAGCCTGTTTGTTCAGTCTGAATATACAAGTGATTTGTTACCTACCTTCTAACCAGCAAGCCGTAACACTGAGGAGAAAAGCACGGAGTAATAAGGGACAGGAAGTTGGAAAGTTGCCCTTATAGAACTGTTTCTGACAAAGATAAATGATGATCACTCCATTCAGCGCAGATGCCATTGGGTACTATATATGAAGTCGGAAATTTGGAGCTTGGAATAGTCTATCTGAAGTATTTCATCCATAGTTCACTAAAGCAGGTATTGACTGTACAGCACATGGTTAGAAAATGCCAATATAACACACATAGTTTCCCTGTCCGTCTATTTCTTCTTGTTTGCCGGTCTCTTTTGAGCCCGGATATCTCCTTCATGCCTCTATAAGTTTGCCTTCATGTTGCTTAGGCTTCATGTTAGGTCTTCACTTCGTACAGCCTTAGCCTCCGTCACCTTCTAATGGGCTGAGCATTAACAGCAGCTTTCCTTTGCTTATGACCGCAACTGTCCTTGTGATAGACCCTTGAGCTTAGCATACTTATGTCTTTGAAACATCCTCAGTGCAGAAATGTGTTGATTCGCCCTGAGCTCATCTCCATTCACGTGCGGTATGGCATCGGCTGCCTTCCTTCCTCTTTTATCCCAAGCCGATCACGGATATGAACATAAAGCAAAAAGAAAAGATTCGGATATGCAGGGACAATCATATGAACCATAAGACTACCACGTACTCCGCACATATCCTCTTTATGCGCTCTGATGAATGCATGGCGGCATGATCAACCAAATATCCTCGGGACCTCGGTCGCGGCAGCGGCTTTCCCCCCGCAAATCCAATGGGGATGCTTTCAAACTACCGCTCTAGTAACAACAATTCTTCTCCGCATTGGCGCAGCTCTCCACACGTTCGCTGTTGGCAAATGTTATATCTATGACAATCATACCCTTCCTTGATCTGGTGCTCAATATCTTCAATCTTGTATCATCCAGCGACACAACATTTACCTACCCCCGGAGGCCCAACTAATCAGCATGGGGAAGAAGCAAGCAGCACCCGCCTACGTCCTAGGCGTGGGCATGACCAAGTTTATCAAGCCTCGTGGCAAGGTCGACTACCATGAACTCGGATTTGAGGCCGGTGTCAAGGCTATGCTGGACGCTCACATTAATTACGATGATGTCGACCAAGGCGTTGCATGCTACGTCTATGGTGATAGCACCTGCGGTCAGCGTGTCTTCTACCAGTTCGGTCTGACCAACATCCCCATCTACAATGTCAACAACAACTGCTCAACCGGCTCAACCGGCCTGGCCATGGCTCGCACCATGGTCTCCCACGGTGCTGCGGACTGTGTTCTGGTTATTGGTTTCGAGAAGATGAGCCCCGGAAGCTTGCAGTCGGTCTACAACGACCGGGCCAATCCGACTGGTCTCTTCGGTATGATGATGGCTGAGACGAGAGGAATCACCAACGCCCCTGGTGCTGCACAGATGTTTGGCAATGCTGGTCGGGAGTACATGGAGAAGTATGTTGGAACCATACTATATGCTGCGTCACTTACGCTGCCGTACTGACTTCCTCCAGGTATGGAGCCAAGAACGAAGACTTTGCGGAAATCGCTCGTGTCAACCACGAACACTCCAAGCGCAACCCCTACTCGCAGTTCCAGGATGAATACACGCTCGAGCAGATTCTCAAGGCGCCTATGATTCACGAGCCACTCACCAAGCTGCAGTGCTGTCCAACCTCGGACGGAGGTGCTGCTGCTGTGATCGTCTCCCAGGCATTCCTGGACGCTCGTCCCCATCTCAAAGAACAGGCGATCCTGATCGCAGGTCAGCAACTTGCAACGGACACGCCCACTCTCTACAACAGAAGCTCGATCGACTTGATGGGCTTTGGGATGACCCGCTACGCCTGTCGGGCGGCCGCTGCTGAGGCTGGCGTCAACGTTAAGAACATCAAGGTTTGCGAATTGCACGACTGTTTCTCTGCCAATGAGATGATCACGATCGACGCGCTCGAGCTCTGTGAGCCGGGCAAGGCACATGAGATGGTTCGCAAAGGTGATATCACCTATGGAGGCAAGATGGTCATCAATCCCTCGGGCGGTCTCATCTCCAAGGGTCATCCCCTGGGTGCTACCGGCCTTGCGCAGTGTGCTGAGCTGGTCTGGCACCTGCGTGGCTGGGCCAATAACCGGTTGATCCAGGGAACAGATGCGGCACTGCAGCACAACCTTGGCTTGGGTGGTGCCGTCGTCGTGACTGTATACAAGCGTGCGGACGGTAAGGTTGCGGCCGCAGTTCCTTCAGACGTCGTTGGCAAGATCACTGGGCTTGGATATAATCCAGCCGTGGAGGCAAAGGGCTTCACAGCCGACCAAGTCAAGTCGGTCCTAAGCAAGAAGCACACCGACGAGTGGGCCCTGGGTGACACTCAGGAGAGAGTGCTCGCTCGCTTCTAAGTCAGAGGACTCTCTGTTCAAAAAAAAAAAAAAAAAAAAAAAAAAAAAAAGAAAAGAAAAGAAAAGAAATTAAACATGGCGTTTGCCATTTAATGGGGTTGTAAGGACGGCAACATATCATTGTGAATACTGTACTTTGTGAAGCGTAGACACAACTGTTATGCAACAACTAGGTACTCCGTACTTCATATCTTCTTCGGGACCGGTCGGAAGTTTGACCGCACAAGCCTGCTTACCTAATTGGAGATTTCCACTACGGAATAAATTTTGCGCTTCTTTTCTCCTTCACCTTCTTCTCTTCTTTTTTCCCTTAACAGGTCTCCAACATACCCTTGTTGATGGATTGTTTTGACCATCAAAGCTTATCCGTTCCGTCTGCAAATTTTAGATTCGAGACCGAGAGCGATTATCGCATGCTCGTTCTAATCCCAACACCTGCCGTACGCGCACGAGGTGGTTGGGTTCGCTTTTGAGCATACATCCCTTGAAGGGAGTCAATTCCGATATCTTCTAGGGTGGATAGTTGCTGCTTTTATTTCTGCTTCGATCGCAATCGGTTGTCTACGGAATGGATGTTCAAATGGGAGAAGATGATCATCCCATGCACACCCTCCATCGATCAATGCTCAATGCTCCATGCTCGCTCGCGAACTAACGTACAGGTCACTAAAGTATGGCTCCTCGTAGGCCGCAACTTTCTCGCTTTCCTACACACGATCATCAGGCATTTTCGAAGTCTCGTCCGTCATCTCTTCCATGATATTCGAGGTCAAAATCGTGCCGAGAATGAGTCAACATCTTGTTGCTTAAGATCTCCCTCGTGTTGCGTCCGCTCTCAATCACATGGAGCTGTACGTGTCAAAAGAAGGGAGGTACATTCCAATAGCACTGTTCAGCATGGCTGCATGACCATCCACAGGTATCAAGTAGCAGTAGTATCGTCGGTGGAATATGTCGTGGTTCCTTAGCTTCCATAATTCCGAATCATGAATGAATCGAATTTACTTCTCACTGGTGTTCTACCGCCCGTCGTCCTTCGTCAACCCTGGCGCGCAGTCCTTTGTTTCAAACATCATTAAGCTTTCGCCTCGAAATATCTTGACTCTGAAGCGGGCTCTCCTCATTAAGCCAGCTACGTAAGGTGGCGCTTGCAAGGGCAGGTGGTGATCTACATTCTTTCTTTGCCTCCTTGGGTCAGAATGTAAACCGGCTTTGAAGTCTTCAAGGGTCAATGCCCTGAAGCTGCAGGTGCGAGTCTGATATTCCTCCCTTGCTTGGTTCCAAGGCAAGTAGCTGACCCGCGGGACTTGCATACGCAAACCTCGGTCAGGAGAATATGCTTTTACAACTCGGTAAACGAGGCTGGGGACATTCCTTAAGTATCCTCGTAGAGACGCGCAATCCGATAAGGGGAGTGAAGGTTCTCTGAGTTGACATTCCGCTCTCCCTTCCAATTCCAGCATGAGAATGTTATCTATAAAGCATGGCCTCGACCTCGCTGATGGTCAACTGCTGAGCTTTCCCCCTTGACTGTCTCGTGTGAAGCACTGCAGTTGCAAGCTAGATAAGTCTTTTTGTGCCTAACGGCGTCCTCTCCTTTGAGATATTCTTTTCCTTTCAGGATCACATCCACAATAATCGCAATACCTCCTCTTCGCCTCGTCCAAAATGGCTCGTTTCAGCTTGTCCTTCCTTGCTCTCTGCTTCTTCCTGGCCCTCATGGTCTCCGCCTTGCCCGCCAAGCGTGACGACGGCGATTTGGATGCCTCTGATGCCATTACCGCCGCTCTCAATGCTCTCAAGGTGCGTATCTCTGCCGCTAACATTTCTCTCGCCGAGATCAATTCAAACTTACAAACTAGCTCAATCAGGCCTTTGACGATGGGGATAAAGAGAAGCCCAAGCCCACCCCTGAAAAGGCTTCGCCTGTTCATGGAACCAATATGACGGAGGCAACCGCCACGCCACAGCCCATTCCCTCGGGCACTCGCACCACTGTGCAGACCCCCGCCGCTGCCAGCAGCTCTGCTGCCGCTGCTCCGAAGAAGACGAGCAGCACGGACAACATGCTCTCGAAAATTCCAATCCTTGGAGGTATGTTGGGGAGTGGTAAGGGTCTGGGAAGTCTTCTACCAACTCATTAGATTACGTGTGTCGAAGACAAGGTGAAGGCGTGTAGCCGCTCGGGGGCGTGTTGAAAATGTTGACTGTAGTTCTCCGAGTTCGAGGAGGTGATTATTCATCGAAACTGTTGAGTGCAGGCTCTGCCTTGCTTTCCTACTTAGGAGCCGGAATTGTGTTGGAATTTTTGTGGTGCGGTAGAAGGAAGATTTGTCCTTTGACTAGTACATTAATTAGAATCTCAAATGAGAATGGAATTTCTTTTTGCCTACTAATTTTTCGAAAATATCACGGGTCTACGGCATGTTACAACGATGKAAAAGGCTGTGAACTTCCGTGTTTGGATGCACTTCACCGATGCTTTGATATCCAGTAGCTTGCTCGGGACAAAGAAAACACATTTTGAGTCGAATTGAGGGCAACAAGGCACTGATAGCACGCATTGGTCCAAGATGATTAAGGGTTCCAGTTTCCTGGCTGAGTTTGCCTTGGACTTGGACACTGTGGCACCTAGCCAGAATCGGTTGTGACGCTCATGGCGAGTTATACGTACAATAATGAAGAAGGTGGTGGCGGATGGACAGGGCCAGGACAATAAGCTAAAGATCAAGAACGCCTTCTTGTCTCTATCCCCGCCCAGACTGTCGGCCAGTTTGACCCAGTTGCTTTCAAAGATGCAGACTCACATGTGGAGATGTAACTATCCCCTACCACACCACTCTGCGTAGTCACGTGGGACCAGTTCTGCTCTGGGGCGTAGTCTCTTCTTGTAAGCCTTTTCCCATCTAAAGAGACTGGCTGTTTCACATTTCAAAATGTCATTCCTTTCGAGTGCCAAAGACGACATCATGAGCTGCTGTTCTGGCTCGCTCGTTGTTGCCCTTCATGTAGACCGGTGTAGTATCCGGCAAAATACCAGGCCATCATCAGGTTCTTCAACCCTTCGTCCTGGACTATATTGTTCAAAGTTAGCTTTCGCCGGCGCTAATGCTATACAGGGAAGGGTACCTTGTGCTAAAGCAGCATGTGGCATCGCAGCTGCTCCCACAGGAGCAGGCTCAGTTGGATATTTCATCTCGGATGGCCGGTGATCAGTCGCTGTCGGGTGCTCCTCTGCGGCCTGAAAAGAGTCAGGAAGACAAGTTCGTTTGCTCAATCCGGCAAGGGGCCGACTCACATCTGGTACTTGCATTGATGAGCTTTGTTCTGCTGTAGCTGATGCTGCCGTCGTCGCTGCGTCATCATCCTCCATGGCATCGACAGCTTCGTCAGGCTGCTGTCCGCTCTGATCCAACCCGGCACGCTCTGCAGCCTCTGCCTCTCTGAGAACATCTTCGACGTTCTCTCCTTTGGCATGGATGCTGTGATACAACTGTTGGAATCGGTGTTAGAAACATGTCACGTGACATATACAGGAAACGTACCTTGTACTCTTCGACCGCTTCATCCCAGCTTTGAACCAGGGCAGAATCGTCCCATATTTCTTCCTGTGTCAGAGGCCTATTCGCACTCTTTGCTTTCCCCATTTTATGAGCTGTTGTATTTCTGTAGATGGTCAGTTACTGGTTCCTGTAGTCGATGGATCCCGCTGCGGTGGCTGCGGAGACCAGACTCACCGCTTGGCGGTCGACCCGTCGGAGAAAAAATGGGAGACCAAAAAAAAAGTTTCCCGCACCTTTTTTAGTAGGGTCAGATTGCGGTGCTTCAACCTAGCATATAACAGACAATAACCAGAAATATGGCTCCCGATAAGAAGGATAAGAAGCGCAAGGGTAGGTCCTTCTGGATTATGGTTATTTTGCTATTGCCTTGTTTTCTAACACCATACAGCTGCCACCACAGTAGCCGCCGACTCGCCCGCAAAGAAGACCAAGAAGGTCGAGGCCAAGCCTAGCGAAGCCCCCAAAGAAACCCCCAAGTCTATTCTGAAGAAGAACAAGAAGGATGCCCCTGCCGCAGAGCCAAAGTCCGCTTCCAAATTGAAGCTCAATGGCGAGGCGGCAAGGCAGGTCAAGCCTCGCAAGCGTGCGGCGGATTTCCTCAGCGACGACGAGAGTGAGCCGGAAGTCGTGGCGTCTGAACCCAAGGCCGATACCGAGGAGAAGAAGCAGCCCAGTAAGAAGAAGTCGAAGAAGGAAGACGGCACTCCTGCGCCCGCTACAAAAGCCAAGACAAGTGCTGCTGCTGCGAAGCCCAAGGCGAAGAAGCCTGAGCCTGTAGTCGAAGAGTCGGACGATGAGGATAACGAGCAGGTCCCTGTGGTCTCTGAAGATAGTTCCGAAGACGAGGAAGATGATGTACTAGACGATCAGACAGCCGCTTTGATCAAGGGTTTCGAGAGCAGCGGTGATGAAGATGAGTCCGGAGACGAAGGGTTTGACCCTGACCAGCCGGTTCCCAAGATCCCCGACTCCAAGAAGGCGAAGCGCAAGATCTTGAAGAAGCAAAAGAAGCACGGTGAGGCCGAAGCGCCCGGAACGGTTTATGTTGGGTAAGTTCCGCAGTCTTTTTCTCTTTGCCGTTCCGCCGTGACAAAGTCTTACAATCTCTTTTCCACAGACGTATTCCCCACGGTTTCTACGAACATCAGATGCGCGCTTACTTCTCTCAATTCGGCGAGATTACTCGCCTGCGTCTCTCCCGCAACCGCATCACCGGTCGCTCAAAGCACTACGCTTTCGTGGAGTTCGCCTCGGTCACTGTTGCCAAGATTGTCGCGGAAACTATGGACAACTACCTGATGTATGGCCATATCCTGAAATGCAAATATGTCCCCTCCGATCAGTTGCACCCGGAGGTTTGGAAGGGTGCCAACAGACGATTCAAACGCACCCCGTGGAACCGCATCGAGAAGAAGAGGCTGGAAAAGGGCAAGACGAGGGAACAGTGGTCGGAGCGCATTGAGCGGGAACAGAAGAGACGACTTGCAAAGGCCGAGAAGCTGAAGGCTTTGGGTTATGAGTATGAGCTTCCCCAGCTGAAGAGCGTCGACGAAGTTCCTGTCCAAGAAGAGACCAAGGCGATTGAAGCTGCTGCCGATGCGACTGCCGATGAGCCCGTGAAGGCTATCGAGGCACCCTCGGCTCAGGAGTCCAAGGAGGAGACTATCGTGGACGAGACTCCTAAGAAGGCCAAGAAGGAGAAGAAGGGAAGCCAATCGACTCCTAAGCAGGGGACACCCAAGCAGGATGGCGAAAAGGCGTCGGCGAAAAAGGGAATAAATGGCGTTGCCGCTTCACCGGCGACAAAGGTCGGAGCCAAGGACAAGAAAGCTAAGAAGGTGAAGGCGTAGGACTATCATTTTCATGTTCTTTGTATCTTGTTAGCACAAAAGGGTCTGCTATTTTTTGGCATAAATTGTTGAATGTATATGTCTGAGACAAGAGTGACTGTAACCCCCTCAAGCCTGCTCAGCCCTGAGTAGAATCTCATGAGACTTTATCACTCATGACCATGATGTTAACATATGTCAGCATATCTATTGTAATCTCTGCTATCAATGCGCAGTGCATAGCTATTCTAGAGGTATGGACGGCTCTGAGACCTGACACCAAACGTAAACACAACGATGATTGGTGAATTTCGAGCCAAATCACGTGATAAACTAGTCCTCAAAACAGACTAGCCTCTAAGAGCGGGTCAACCGAGCATTAAAAAACCGAAACTTTTTTCGTAGCAACTTTGTTTCTTTCTTCCTCAACTCCTCGCTCAAAGAATCGCATTCAAAGCTCACACACAGAATATCTACCCGGTATTCTTCTTCCTCCACCGGAGGAACCTAGCTTTGGGAGAAAGTCCCCGGACACCCTGCCCGATCCTCTGGATCCTTGGCAGGCAATGCGGAAACGCGCCGCCATAGAAGCAATTTGATAGCGGCTGACTGCCCTACTCCCTCCCGGCGCCCATGCCTATATCCGACGCCTTCGCGGTGGAAACAATGGCGGTATAGCGGGGTGTCGGAGAGGGGTTGTTTCATTGGGTTGCCTTTCGTCGTGTTTGGATAGTCATGCGATTGCCCTGATCCTCCTTTGGAGGATCGGGTAACTCAATGGGGCTCATTCTTGAGGCGAGGAGTTCATCGCTCTTTACTTTTGAGTCTGTAGCTTATTGCAAAGCGGTGGCTGGATCTATGGTCACAGAAGCCCTGTCGAAGGGGCCGGACTCTTTCCTTTTTTTTTTTTTTGTTTTTAAGTTTTTTGTCTTTCGTTGACATGCACATTGCGTTCGTATGATGATATACCAATCATAGAGTCAAGCCCTGATACTCCTGCTACGGCATGGGGTTGTGACGATAAACGATTGTTTTCATATCTGACGAACTTGTTCCCTCTTATGTGCTTATCATAGAACGAAACAATGAAAATACTCCCATGACCTTTAGTCTACATTTCCCGTAATGCGTAATATATAACATGGCAAACATTCATTCTATTCATTGCGCCTTTTGGGCCTTTGCTGTCGAAGCAGGGCTTGCGGTCCGACTTCTCAACTGCAGCAACATAGAGGTGACAATCTCTGCCATGACGGCAATCGCTGTCGCGCAGACACTATTCCAAACTTGGACGCTCACCGATCCGCGAGGCGCTCGGGGGAATGACAGTACCCATTCAACGTAGGAGGGAAACCAGCCTGCCGGAAGCGCAAAGACAGGAGTCTTGGAATAGTAAAACTGAAGAAAGATCTTGAGACCGTTGGTGCTGAGCCACCGAGCGATCTTGACACTCCAGTCAAACGAGGTTTTCTGTGCCGTGAGTTTCTTGTCTGTTTTCAGAACCGATCAATCAGCTGGGCTTGAACGTCGACAATGTGAAGTGAGGAGCGTAATATTTCAGCGTAAAAAGAGCAGGGCACGCACTCATTGTCTCGTATTCATCCATAGCTTTGTCATGCTTCCTCCTCAACTTAGCCCACTTGGCGAACTCATCTTGGGAGCTCGTGTTGTTCATGTCACGCTTGAGCAGGACGACTTCACGCTTCAGTCGACTCTGCTCGCGAGCATTCTTCGACGTCGATGTAGGGAGCTTGAGGTATAGAATCCATAGCTGCAGAACACTTCAG